GCTAATATACCCCCCTCAATGCTACACACTGTTCCTTTAAGTATGTGCTCTAACTTTTGCAATGTTAACACACTATTGAAATCCTGTTTATAGTTAGTATGCTGTATGGAAAAGATGATTCGTAACGTTACATCTTTCAATGAAAGAATTGTCCGAAAATCTATTTTAGGACTGTGTGGCATATTCTAATCTGTGAATCTTGAACACAGATTATTTTTTTCTATAATGTTGTCTATATTTGCACAGGCCTGAAGAGCATCTGCATGTTTCTTCTGAAGCGGGTGAATTAAGCTCCGATGTCTGCAGTTACACTGACTGTGTGCAGATAAATAATAATATAAAGGAGAACATGGAAGGCCGGCACAAGCTTAAACATGATCCTTTAGCTTCTCCGTGTAGCCGGAAGACTTGCACGCCCAGATGAACTTGCATGCACATTTCTCCTGCCCCAGAGTGTCTTGACAAGAACACATTGCTGTCCTTTTAGAAGGGCACAGTTCGTGCATTATGTCATGGAACGATCACAATGCAGGAACCGTGCAGCCCTCCCGAGGAAAAAAAAAATGCCTGTTATGTGATGGAAATGCATTAAGCTGACAGGACGAGCAGAAGCTAATGTGAGTGTAGCCGCCGGGCACGATGCTGCTTGTCTACCAGCGTTTCAGTGCGACCCGGGTCATTTTATTGAGTCCTGTCGCCGGTAATCAAAAAAAAGACACAGGGCCCGAGGCGAAGCTGCTGTCCCAGAAAGGGAATAACAGAGTTGTTTTATTTTTTATTTTGAGAGCCGGCACTTCTGGACTCTTGACACTCTTGTCATTAGAAGCACTCCTCTGAAGACCGAACACCACGTCGCTGCTGACAAAAGAAAACCTGACAGTCTGACTGTAGCTGGTGACAATTCACTTCAGAATGAAACAGTTTGATTCTGAATGAAAACTAATTATGGCTTTCAATAAACGGCACTTTATCCTCGTTATTTTAAGCCTCATCGGCCCATAAAACGTCCTTAAAATTGGTAACTTCATCATACAGGTCACACAACAAGCAATATTGAACTAATCAACACTATTCTGAAACAGAGTTCATAGACAAGCTGCATGTTAAAGCTGCATTCAAATTCTATACTCTGTGTTTAAACTCAAAATCATACAGTAATGCTGACAGCTGTAGGATTAGATGAAACTGTTAAGACCACTCTGTGGAAATATTATAGTAAGACACTTAATGTACAAAAGGAAAAAGGGATATTCGCCAAATTAAATAAATATTAAATGGCTTAAACCTGCAAAATGGTGTTTAACTTGTCCTTTTTCCTTATGTGCTTTCCTGCTTTATAACTGTTATATATTTATAATGAGACATCTACTGTAAAAAAGTATTTCCTGTATTTTCCTTACTTAAAACCTGAAATTAGCTAAATTCCTTTTCCTACAGAACAAATCCCTCTGTAGTCCATTCTGATGCGTCCTTATTATAATCTGCACTCCAGATTAGATAAGGATAAACCTACAGTAACGATATTACAGACTTAAATCCTTCGAGAGGCAACCAAATTACATCACCGCAACAGTGTAGAAAATCACGGAGATTATCCCGTACTTAGCAGTATTATTATTAAAACAATATCTCCTCACAGCGAGCCAGAAGGGCCGGTGGTTTGGATGTTCTGTAGCGTTGACATTTACTGGCTGAGGGCGTCGTATTGACAGGCTGCCTCGCTCAGCAGCGGAGTCCCAGTGACATCAGCAATGGGGGCGGGTGGGGGGGACACTTTAGGATCTTTAACCCCCGCTTGCTTCAGGTTTCACTCAGTGGTGCACTCAGGATCTCAGCGTTCTCACATCTTTATCGGGTGAGAAATACTTAGCTCAGAGTCTCCACTAATTTTTCTTCTCCCTCTCTCTCTCTCTCTCTCTCTCCTGCTCTCTCTTTCATCTCAGCTTAATGTCATATATTATGGTGTTTAGCCTTGGGTATTGTGGGGTTTCCTTCCTATTTGTTTCTGGATGGTGTCCATGGAAGCAGATGCTGCCTGCTCCTCCTGCAACTCGAGGCTTCCCCACCCTGTCAGAGGGCCGGGCGTCCCACAGCAGTCAGGCTGTCCAGGCTTTAGCTGCTTGTGCAGCTAAATGGAGGCGTTAAGCCAAGCGTAAACGAAGACTATCCTGCTATCTAATTAGAAACCTATTTGGCCTTTGGAGAAATGTGCAGAAAAATAAATATCTGTACAGTTGTTTTACTTTTTAGATAGTTTCAACCAGTCGGCCTGATCATATTGCTGCTTCAGCCTCAAAGCAATTAAGGTCTGTGTTGTGAAAGGTGAGTTTGAAGTACAGTGTGTTCACCTAACACACACACCACCTCCCTCTCTTCCTCTTCTGTGCATTCCCACTTTGTAGGTTTTTTTGCATTTGTGTGTCTGTGTGCTGTTACGCGTTTGCGTCTGAAGTTTAGAGTGATCTGCCAATTAGGATGGTTCGGAGCATCCCGAGAAATGTCTCAACCTCCAACAATGACACACACACACACAGGGTTACACACTGCAGGCTTGACAACAGCCAGACCTCTGTGTGTGGTCTAAGCTGCCTCCCCTGTGCCTCCAGTGCAGCCGAAGAGGCAGACGGGAAGAAAGGAGTCGAAGTGTGAGAGGTGCGATTTCTTGCACCTCCACGGAAAACAAACAGGCCGATCTATCGCAAACACATGTCCACACACTCCCGGTCTAATAAAAGGTTGCACGAGTTGTTTAGCACCTGCGCGTTCGACAAACAAACGGGACACACACAAAAACAGCCCCACATTCTTTTTTTTGATCTATTTCCATATGCCGAACACATAAAAACAAGTCACGATGCTTCTTACATCATTACTCCAAACAGGAAGTGACTGAAGCATTAAAAAGGCTGGAATCAAGATGGCCCATGCAGGGTCGGTGTTCTACATCTTTCATTATTAATTCATTGTTGTATTGATTGTGTATTCATCTGGAGGGGAAGCGGAGGAGAGCTGATGTCTGAGGCGGCTATATTATCCATCCCCTCCTCTCCAGTTTCTTATCTGGCATTGTGCTGAAGCACAGGGAGGATGAGCCGCCCGCTACTTAGATATGAGCGTCTGAGAGATGGCTGTTGAGAAGCAACAAAAGGATGCGTGGCAAAAAGGAAGTTTATTTGTGGCCTGAAATATTCAAGCTATGATTAGCTCGATTTAACTAAAATGCATTCTCAATTACGTTTGACCAAAAACGTATTCCTCCAGAGAGAGAGTTAGCTAAGAAATGAATGCCTGTACTCTACACTTAGCAAAAATACTGCAAACAGCAAGACCGGCTCAGTTTATTGTCTACAAAAACAAATGTGTCGAAATGACAAATTGTGGTTTTACTGGAGATTATGTGACAAACTATTTCTTGGCTGCTTCCCTCTGCCTCCAGTCTTTATGCTAAGCTAACTGGCGTCTGGTGGTTGCTTCATATCTAACATACAAACATGAGAATGTTATAACAAACAGTTGTTTTTATATATGAGCCTATAGCATATAGAGCATATAGAGTTTACTGGTGTGTTATGCATGATACCTTTTCTTTCTGAGAGTTAGACTAGAAGATCGACACCGCACTCAATGAAAATATGAAGCGCCAACTAGCAGCTCTGTTAGCATAGCTTAGCATGAAGCCTGGAGACGGGAGAAAAATGTTGAATGGTTTCCGTTCCGCATTGGTCTAAATTGTTATCAAGCAATCCATTAGATCTACAATAATCCCCAACTGCAGTAATGCTGCTAGGAGTCATAAATAAAGTGTGATAATGTGGAAATGTCCCTTTTTTGATTGCGGCTGCACTCGACTTTTCCCCCCCATGTAAAGAAAACATATTCATGAATGGATGTTGCTCTCGTGCTCCTTGAAGCACAGCGGGATGTTTCTCTCAGTGCGGCTGAACAGACCACGCTCTCCGGGGACATTAAACAATACCAAACGCCCACGCATGTCACACCTTCCATCTAATGATGGGGGGGGGGGACGACGACAACAAAACGGCTTCTTTGGCCATGGAAGCATCTCTAACACAATTACTTGGAAAAATCAAACCAAATATCAAAGAATTTAGCTTCACAAACAGACTGGAGTTGTGACTGGTCATCAGCTGCGTGTACCGGCTACTATCAGATTGCTTCAGTCGACTTTAGACTAAGTGTGACGCTGCTCTGAGAGGCTTTAGTCCCCACCAGGTAGCTATTAGAAGCCTATAATCACTGCAGGTTTTGACTCATTTGCAATCCGTGCCTGCCATGTGAGCGACTCCAGTGTATCAATTAAAGATTCATCAAAGGCAGTACACAATGATCTGGATTAAATATTCATTGGGGAAGATGTTGGATCATATATGGAGCTTTAACACTTCACTGTACGTTTATATCAGGACCGGTGGCGGCATAAACGTGGCACATTACACAAGCAGGCTGCAGCGAGGGTGGCTTCAGGACACCCAAACATCAGACGTATATTTCATCATTTCTTCATCTGCTGAGCACGACGTGTCTCTCATCTCATGATGACATTTCACAGCCCCCCCCC